ATTGAAATAATTTTGTGGGCGATGTCCCTTATTAAATGAATTTTGTGGGCGGTGTCCCTTATTGAAATAATTTTGTGGGCGGTGTCCCTTGTTAAATGAATTTTGTGGGCGGTGTCCCTTATTGAATTAATTTTGTGGGCGGTGTCCCTTGGGTTTATTGTGTTTTGAAATTTTGGAAATGTCCATTTTTAAGGGGAAGTCATGCCGGATTTTTTTTAAAAAAAATAATAAAAATTTAATTTAACTCTGCTTTATATTTTGCTACTATAGGTAATGTCTTGTTTTACATTCAAATTCATTTTTTGCTACTACATTGAAGGACATGGCAGTAAGTTGTAGGTAGTGGCACCAGCGGGATTGATAGGAATCATTCTCTAGTTGCTGCAACTCCAGAAAGCTAGTGATCTCTAAGTTAATCAAATGGAGGCCTATGCAAGTATAAAAAAGTGGGTGTACATTTTATGGAATGAATATTAGTGATCTCCAATTATGTGTACATTTTTTGTAAGTGTAATGAAGTGTGTGTGTACTTTCAAATATTTTAAAGGAATGCCTAGCTTCTTATATGTGGAAGTATATATGTGAATGGTGCAACACTCAATTTCTTAAGATTGTGATGTATAAAGCAAAACTATACGTGGAAGTATATATGTGAATGTCGTTCAGTCTTGTAAGAGGGATCTTCCTTGATTGCTTACTTTTAATCTTTATTTATATTTATCAATTCTGCTTATGGTTGGATATTGTATGAAATATTCACAAGTCCGTTATCAAAATAAATACTCAACAAAAGGGGAAATGGTTTTATGACTAAACAAAAAAAAATATTACCAATTTGAAGGACCTTCACTGCAAAATTTCAAACTAATCTAAGTGAAGTAAAACTATTTACAAGCTTCAATGTTCACCAAATTTCAACTCTGACCAATTCAAGACGATTAACGTTTTGACTTTGTTTCTTGTTAGTTTTAACTACAAGGATCTCTCTCTCTCTCTCACATTCTTCATGAATATATATATATATATATATATATATATATATATATATATATATATGAAACAAAACAAAGTTAAATGGAATGCAAGCCAAAAGAAAAAGATAAATGGAGTGCAAAGATCTACTCTCATTGAAAGATTATTACAAAGTTAGATTTGTAATTTGGTTGCCATTAATCATGTTTATGCAGATTTATTCATTATTACAAAGTAGTTTGGTTACCATTATACATGTAAATTTAACAAAAAAAAAATTTCCCAACTCTAATGCAGATTTTTTTTTTCCATAAATTATTTCAAATCATAAAGAAAAATGGACTATTTTACATATAAACTTATAATTGTATTCATATATATAATTTTTCAAAACAAAACAAAACAGTCTTTACCAAACAGGTATTCTGTTATTGATTCAGAATTTTTAATAACAAAACACTATTCTCAAACGTGTTTTGTTTTTGGATTTCTTAAAACGCATGACAATACCAAACGCGTTATCATGTTTCTGATATACAATTATTAAAAACAAAACAATCGTTACCAAACATGGATCCGATTTCTACTAAAAACATACCAATACCAAAACAGTTATTTTCATATCGTACCAAACCATAACATATAACGTTATCGCCATCCAAACGGACCCTAAGTATTGTTTAAATGTTAGTCCGCTTGTTGTGGGTACTGTGATATGTGGCCCATTTAAAGAAGACCCATTAGTGGCTATGGATTTGAATGGTTTGGTGGATTATATCCCCTCTGGACTTTCTGTCAATTTCTCTGCGCATCTTGTTGTGGGTTCTTCTGCTATCTCTCTTTGCCGTCTGGTGGATTTACGTTGGGTTCCTCCCGGTTTCTTAGCGTTGCAGTGTGTCCTGATTGCATTATCTTCAGTTCCCATGTATGTTGGAGGCAACAAAACCATTTTTCAGGATTATTAAGGCTTTGTCTTGCAGGTGGTTGTTGCCTATATATCGATAGCGGTGCCATGTTGTTTTGAGGCTGCTTTATGTCATGTCTTGATGGTGTATCTTTCTTCTTCCGTTGATATCCGTATAGTACTCCAAGTTCTCCCCTCAGCTTGGGTTAATTAACTCTGTTTATAAACAGAGGTACGAGGTGGTCAATGCTGTTGTCCAGCTTTTCCGGAGTCCTGTTCTTACGGATTGTGTGATCCAGTCACTTTCAGGGGATTTTGTTTTACTTGCTGACCATGCTATATCATTAGGCCAGGTAGGTGTTTAAGTTGAAGATATTGTGGTCTTTGAGCTTAGAGTGCTGTTGGGAAGGGACAATGGTATGACGCTATATATTGTGGCGATGGATAAAACATGCATATTTAATGTTGTTAGTAGCATTCTGCCAATTTATATAGCCTGTCATATTCATGTTAAGGCTTAAGGACTTCTCACGGTAGATTTGATTCGGAAGGTAGCACAAACAGCTCCATGTATTTGTCTATTTGCTCTAAGTGTGGCTCACGTACTTATTACTCTGATATTATAAAATCTTTGTGTTTGCCAGGTTTTTTTTTTTTTTTTTTTTCATATAATAATAATAATAAAATAAAAATCCGCCAACATCTATGGTTTTAAAGTACCGTTCTATCCTTTCAAAGCGAAAATATAAAGAGTTTATATTTGTCCAAGAGCATTGGGAGGGTGATATGCCGAGAAAAAAAAAATTTCAATTTTGAATCAAGGTTAATTAATATGAATACACGAATCACTATGGACCCCCTTTTAATCCATCTAAACTTTATTGTTTTTTATTTGTCAGACTAAATTTTTATTGCAAAGTACAAAAAAAAAAAAAAAAAAAAAAAAAAAAAAAAAAAAAAAAAAAAAAAAAATTATTATATCCGAATATTTTTTCAGTGTTAAAAAAACTTTAATATTTTTCAAATTGAACAAACAAGGATATTTTCTCAATTTAAAAAATAAAATACCCAAAATACCCTTGAGAATTTTCTTTAAAAAAAAAAATGATTACCGCTTTTTAAGGTATTATAATAAGTGTATTTTGAGTTTTTTTATTAAAAAAAATGATCAAAATTGACTGTCAATGAATATTAGAGTGCAATTTGCACATATTTTTAAATATTAAAAATTTATGTATACAAACTCAATGATCTTTCTCGCCCTTTTCTCCTCCTATGATTTATAAACATACTTCTAACAAAATACATTAAAAATGTACTACTAAAAGGGGAGGGGGAATCTTTACAATTATTTTATTTTAGTTTTACAATTTAATTTTATATTACTAATTTGTTCCGCGATACTAACAAAACTACTAAATAATGGCCAACATAACCTTAGGGTGAATGTTGCCTTTTTAGATCTTAATTTTTTAATTTTTCCTTTTTGCCCTTCGAAGGAATTAATTAACTAAAGTACCGTGTTTATTATTATTAGTATTCCATACTTGACATGGAAGTGACCAAATAGTCTTAAGCCGAAGGAAAGAATACACATAGAAACCTTGTATATCTGAAAAAGGAACCTCTTCATCATCTACAAGCTGACCATATCATGCTTAGCCATGGTGTGTCTCCTGGGAGTTTTCTTTGGGTGCAAGCATTCCTCAGTCTCATCTTATGCCCTAACAGCTCTGCTGGTCATAGGCATTATTGCAGTCCTGCGTATAATCTGTTACACCATTTGTAGGTTGCTAAGGACGGAGGACTCTCATGGCCATCCAAACCGGCACGGCGGGACCGAGATGCAGGAACATAATCGAGATGAGGCGCGACCGCCGGAGTTGCATTAGGGGAACAATCCCAGAAAGCAAAGAGAGAAACAAGCCAGGCATTTTCAGGCCAACTGAGTAATTTGCTAGACATGTTTCTTTTTTAAATCCAATTGTTAATTAGAGTTTCGTTTCTATCATATTAATAACATTTAGAGATGTGAAATACCATAAATCTGAACTACTATTTTTCATAAGTAGTTGAATGATATGGATCTCACAATTATTTTTCATGATATGGATCTCACAATCGTATTTATTGTATAAAGGACATCATTTGTTTCTTACACTCAGAAACAAAAACATGTTATAAAGTAAAATTCAAACTTTTGATAGTGGTGGAGCCCACACCATCTCTTTCAATCCTTGAATTTGGTAGGTAAAAACTACGGATGATAGAATACCTCGTAGTGGGTGTAACATTTAAGTAACTTTGGCCTAGTGTTGGTGTGACATTTCATCGGCAGATTAAAACTTCCTAGTACTTATATGTGGACTCGTCCTAAGTCACCCTCACATATTAGATTCGTGACCAATTTACTTCTCCCACCTTCCTCATTGATAAATATTACATTAGAATTGGCCCTGTTATTTGGTCACCGCAAACTATATTCATTGATTATCAAAATTATTAAATTTAGATGGCAAAAAATTAAGAAAAATGATACATTCTCGAAGGTTGGTGACTAGGTATTGTGTGAATGAAGGTGTTAGTCCCTACCATATGACATCACATTAACATCATGTGTGTAATTTACACACACTCATATTCTCTATTCAACATTTTCGAATTCCTAAACGTATCATTTTTTGTTCAAAGATTATGGAATGAAATATTAGTGTATCAAACTCATAATTATTCGGGTCGAGAGAGAAAAACACTCATATGATATGCATATAGAGTGTATAACCCTTATACATTTTGAAAAATCTCTAACATCCAATTTTTTTAGCGAACAATGGTACGAAAGTTGAAAAGACTAAAGTGTCCCTTTTTTTTTTTTTTTTTTTTTTCTTTTTCGTCTTATATATAATGAGATTATTGGAAGAGAAAATGATATTTTTGGAATTTTCTTCTTAAAAATATCATGTGCACATGACTAAATTTGTAACCAAATAATAACATCAAACCTTTTTTTGATCATTTTTTCAAACTTCATGGATTTATATACCTTAAAAAAAACATTGGACATGCTTTTCTCATTTTGCACTAATTATTCTATTAATGGATTATTAGTGTATCTAAGTACTCATAATTAACTGCAAAAATCTATCACAATCCACAAAATAATTACACTGTACACTTGCAACACAAAACACAAAAAGAAAAAACAACTATTTCAGATCAAAATATTCAGAACCATTTTGGGTGGAGCTCCGACCCGCACTGTTCGTGTGCCTCACGCGCCACACCTTAAGCACCCCATCAAGACTCCCGGTGCAGACCGTACAACCATCCTCACTCTCATCCGTCACGCGCCCAGAAAAGGCAGTCACGCACCTAATGGGCCCTCTATGACCTTGTAAGACCGCAATGCACATGTGTGCACCATCTGGGTCACGAACCCAGACCCTACCCGTCGAGTCAGCCGAGCCGCTGACCAAATAGTTAGCCACACTGGCTAAGCACATCACAGCATGGGTGTGACCCTGAAGTGCACCACCATATTGCAATTGCCCCGAAAACCAACCCTTTAGCCAATAATGTATGTACCCATCCGTGCACCCACCGTAGAGGACACCACTGTCTTGGGTTAGGGTTAGGGTTTTGACGGGTGAGTTCTTCGCCGGTAGGGTCACGGTGAGCGAGTGGGGTCGGTCTCCGTTACAGAAGTTGCGACGCCAAACCCTGACCGTGGCGTCGTCGGAGGCACTGAAGAGTACGCCGTCGTCGGCCACCACAATGGCGTTGATGGGCGCCTGATGGGCTTGGATGGTCTCGATGCATTTGTGGTCAGAAATTCGCCATACTTTCACTGTTTTATCAAGGGAAGCTGAGTACAAAATGTCATCTGATACATTGATTGCCAGAGATGATATGGGCCCCAAATGCTTCATCTGTTAATAAATTCATCAAAACATTTTTTAATGACAATTATTTGCCAAGTAGAAACTATTACAACATAATCAAACTTATTGCCATCTACTAAAAAAGTTAAAATATATAAATATATAAAAGTTATTATCAATTTTTGTTATTGTGAAAATATAGATGAAAAATTGTATTTTTATTCTTATTGACAAAGATTGACTGTTGAACACTATTTATTACAATTGCATAAAGTTTGTATCCTTACTAAAAATATATATATATATATATATATATATCATTTATACCTTTTTTTTTTTTTTTTTTTTCAATATCAATAAACACACTCACTCGCGTACATGGACCAACCCAAAAGCTTTGTTGCGAGGGTGTGCCAAGGAAGTTTTTTCTTAATCTTAGTGGGACTTTGTCAATATTTTGCAAAATTTATAGATACGTAATGCAATATATATATATTTCAGTAGAAGCGAATGCCCCCACTGGTCTCTACATGGGTCTGTGCATGCTCACACAGCCACTTTATCCCTATATGGATATCACTAGGCTTCAATTGTGTTGGTAAGTATCATTTATACTTAACCGAAAGTTGTGGCGCGGTACTACATTTCTTTCTAAAAAAAAAAAAAAATCATTAAATTTCTAAGTATGTTTATAATTTTATAAATGAGTATTTGGAGGTAAAAAAAAAGGTATATATATATATATATATATATATATATATATATATATATAGGTATCATATGTGTGTCTCTGCCCAAGCCATGCATGTTCTAACAGATCAATGCTTTTATTGGGTAGTTGGGTGGTTCAATTATAAGGCTGAAGCAAAAAAAATTTGTATGTACTAGTATTATATATAGACAACCCCTTAAATAAAAGTTTGGTGCTCATTAATATAAGAGTACTGAAGAGTTCTTCAGTCTTTAAATGGTAGGTTGGTGCCTATATTAATATAAGACTGGAAAATTCTTCCATGCACCATTAAGCTTCTGTAGATTTGACATCAAAAAGAGATACGGGGGTTTTAATTGGTAACACCATTTAGTAATAACTTTCCGATGTTTACTAAAGAAAAAAACATCTATTGTATGCAATGTTTTTTTGTTTTTTATTTTTTATTTTTTATAATGAACTTGTTAATTACTTCATCATTTTTCATTAGAAATCTCCATCTAATGTAAGTAGGGATGATATGGTCGAAATTATTATGACTTGCTATAAGTATTGATACATTAATAATTATGTCAGAAAGAAATAATAACAAGAAACTTACAAAAAATATTGGTAGTTTTAAGGGTAAAGTGTAAATAAAAATAATAATAATAATAATAAATCTTGAACTAATTTTCCCCACGCAAATCAATTAATTAATAATTTATTGTAATTAAGGACAAACCGATTATAAAAGGCAATTTTACACTTTTCTTATTAAATTTTTCATTCTTAATAAATTATTTTTATTATCTTTTCTCTTATCTAATATTATTTATCTTAATTTTATATTAGTGTCAATTTATCATAAAAATGGGGAAAAAAATTAAAATCGTAACTACTATTTTCTAAAATGATTAATTTATTACTAAAACTTTACTATTTATAATAAAAGTTTTTATAAAAGTGTCAAACTTTTTTACCGTAAAAAAAAGTACCTTTTTATCATACAATATATTCATGAAAAATTAATAAAATATTTAAATAAAAAAATATCTTCTTTTTTCATGCAACATATTCATGAAAAAAATAAGAAATTACTTAAATTGTTTCTAAATTTTCTACGTATGGTATTTTTGCAAATTTAATACAGAATATATCATCGAATTAAGTAATAAGTGGTCACCTAACTATATAGATTAATGCAAAAAAAAAAAAAAAAAAAGACTAATCAATGCAATTAATTAAAACCATATTGGAGATTACCATCTTGTCCCTGCCGGATATGTAGTTCCGGACATAACTTCCGGTCCTCGGAATGGTCGATAGCCGAACATGCTTCATGACTCCTTCCCACGTCCGGCGCCAAACCCTAATCTTGCAGTCTGCATAGGCTGCATAAACCCTATCGTTTGACACCTCTAGAGCAACCACCATGCATGTCCGGGTCTTGAGTTGATCGCATTCGGTGAATTCCGGCAACCTCCAAACCCTGACGACGTTGCTCTCCGAGCCGGTGTAAACAAAGCCGTTGGAGGCGTCGACGGAGAGGATCTGGCCGTCCTTTTTGAGGACAGAAGAGATGCATCTGTAGGTGGTGTGAAGGTCATCAAGCTGCTTCGAGGCTGCAGGGGTTGTTAGTGTTGTGAAGGAAAGGCGAGGAGAGGATGGTTGGGAGCTGTGGAGACATGGACTTGGGAGAGAAGGTGAGCTCAAGCGAGGAGGTGTCCATGGGGTTTCAGAGAAAGATGATTCTTTGGTGGAAATGCTTCTCAATAATTTGGTGGTGTGGGTTCTTCCTCTTATTGAGAAAGATGGATTTGGAGGTGAATTGGGAGGATCTAGTGAGGCCATCTCTCTCTCCCCCTCCCTTTCTCTCTCTCTATCTCAAAGGACTGGATGATAATGCAAATGGGGTAGTGTTTAAATGCACTTCATGATTTGTAGTTTTAAATAGTTTGGGAAAATTAATCAAGTCTTATTAAATCATCTGCCCAAAAAAGTCTTACTAAATTTCAGAAATGACACCATGTAAGATTTTCCTTTTTAAAGCTTCCATTACAAGGCTGAATTCAGATTTTTAATCTATACTAGTTTTACATACACACACACTATAGTCATTAAATAAAAGTTTGGTGGTCATAAGCTGCTGAAGATTTAAAACTTCTGTAGATTTGACATTGAAAGGAGATAGATGGATGAGGGCCATGAATGGTTTGATGGAGAGGCTGATGGATCCATTAATAGCTTCACTGTATATGAATTCAACTCATTTTTACCAACAAAATAATAAAGGGTTTTGGTAACACTATTTAGTAATAATTGTACCAATGTTTAGAAAAAAGCAGATTAGATGCACAATTAATTCGAATGTTATCAATTTATTTTATGAGAGCAATTATATACAAGTGACTTCGCCAACCAACCCGAAAACATGCATTGGATGCACATTGTATTGGTCGGTACATAAAATATATACATTTCCTTTTTTTACAATGAACTTGATACTTCATCAATTTTCATTACTAAGCTCCGCGTAATATCATTTTATATATGAGGTGTTGGGGTGATGGACATGTGAGATATAAATTTGTAATTGACAATATTTGATGTCAAAACAAGTTCTAGTCGAGTTGTAATTTTAAATTACCATATTAAGGTTGACATTAACTGCGAAATAGAAAGGTTGTTAATTGGGTGTGTTAGAAAACATCCATTTGATGTGCTAGAAGTAAGAGAGATTGTATAAAATTCTGTATTGTATTGATATGTAAGATGAGATGTGTGTATAAGAGTACACGGGGGTTTATAATGGATAGGTCATATGTAAAGAGTAAGTCATTACTATATAAAAAAAATGCTATATATGGTAATGAAGGTAAGTTAAGACAACTATCATATAAGTTAATGCTATATATGGTAATGATATATATATTATTGTGATACCCCTCGATTCTAGAGTCACGGGTGATCAAATCCGAGTACAGATGCGAGGGATACCAAACAATTAAGTATATAAACAATTTTAGAATACAAAAAGAATTAAAGAATAAATAATAATTAAGTTGAAAGAAACTAAATAATAAATCCATAACTTAATAAATAAATTATTCTCTAAATAGAATAATTTAAAACCTTCCATATCATTACAACTCGGGAATCCATCTAGTGGACCCCTAATAATATCCCAATTAGAAAATAACTAAACTGTAATCAAATCCAAAACTAAAACATAAATAAGAGCCCTACATAGTCAGAAGAGTGAATAACTATTTCTGCTTAGCACGAACAGTCTCTATCCTTGGAGTTGACGAACACCTGAAAAATAATGGTGAGTCAGGCACACAAACAAATTCTACTCTATTACAATCCAAGTAAAGACTCGATACACGTATACATCCTAATTAACTCAACAATAATTAGTAATCCATAAATATATATATATATATAGATCCACACTAACGGGTTACCATTGGACTATAGGACGTACTCAACCTGAATAGAAGGTAACATACAAAACGCATAAGTAGTGAGCATGAGTACCTTAACCTACCAGTGTTCTCAATACTCTTATAACCAACGAGACTTCCCAGAGCAGTATACGCTCCTTAACCATAGATCCTGAGTCTCAAGCTCATAGCATGGCAATATAATCATATATATAAAGTCCTTATAAACATAAGATAAAAAATGCCATCCATCTGATAAGTGGCTTGACATAAGTAAGAAGGACTTAACTTCTTTGGTTAATCCATTCTCTTATAAATAAATGGTTAGGATTTAACTTCTTTGGTTAATCAGTCCTTAGAATCCCACCGTCCCATATCGGTGCATTACATCCATACAGTCCAATAATTGATGAAATATTTAAAATAACACATCAATTAATTCCATAAACAAGCATAATAAAAATCAGATAATAACATGATCATATTATACGGTCAACGCATGATTAAAATCATATATCATCAATTTAGATTACTAGAATAATACTAGGCAATTAAATCATCCATTAACAACATGTAAGTTCTATTAAAATTTCACATTATTCATCGTTTCAGAGCACATAATTATTAATTATGCATTCTAGGTATTTAATATGCTCACTATAGTCATTTAAATCATCTATAATAACCTACACAGCCCTAGAAAATCCTAAACCTCAAAACAATAGCCGAAAATTCCAAAAATATTAAAGTAGCAGCGATGAAGCAAGCTCTCAAATTAGGGAGCAAGCTCTGTCCCCTTGAGAGCAAGCTCTGTCCGCTTAAGAGCAAACTCTGTCCTCTTGAGAGCAAGCTTTGTCCTTGTGAGAGCATGCTCTGTCCACTTGAGAGCAAGCTCTCGTCTTGAGGGAGCAGGCTCTCAACTTCATAAAGCCGGCTCTCTCTCTCTAAGAGTCGTCAAAATAATTCCCTTTTGGGAGCCGCCTCTCACCCCTTGGGAGCTGACTCTCACCCTGATCTGCATCATCTTCCTTGTCTTCGACTAGTTCCAATCCCTCTATTATCCATTGTTGATGGTTCTAAGAGTCTGAACTACATCCCGAATCATTCCTGTAATTTATATAAATCAATTATGCATCATTAACATCAATTAAAACAAATACTCGTGGCATAAATTGCAAAATCAATCAATTATAAATAAATTCATCTAACATTATTTAAAATCATAATTAGCATGCATAATAGATCAATTTAAAGTCTGATTAGTTCCTGAAATTAACTTAGGCCGGTATAGAAACACGAAATCTAAGGGAATGAGTAAGAGAAGAATTTGCCTCTAGGTTTCAGATTGAAACCTTAACCTCTTCTTCCTAGACTTTCCGGCGACTTCGGCCTGCCATCAAGACTCTCTGTTGCTCCTGGTTCAACCCACAAGCAAGTTTCAATAACCCCTCCTTGGTTCAGCACTTGTTCTTGGCCAAAACCCTAATTCTCCCTCTCTCAGTTTCTCTTTAAAACTCTCTGTATTTTTCTGCCTCCACTATTACGTGAATAAGGTTTTAAACCCTTGGCAGACTATACACACGTATATATAGGCTAGGCTATTATAGTTTAACCTAATTCTAATTACCTAGTAGAAGGAACAGAAAAATAAAATAAATATATATATATATAGATAAAACCAACTAAAGTTAAAATAATATCAACTACTTTTAACAATTAATAAATATACAGCTATATATATGTATATAAACCCATATTTATATGCATAACATTCATGGGTAATATTAATACCCATTTAACTCCTATCCAAGTAGTCCATGTGTAATACCCCTAGTTTTAAAAAGGATATAATTAGAATTTTATTATTTATTTTGTTATTTTCAGTATTTATTTTATTATTTTTAGGTGTTTACGTGGCTATATGTTTAGATGGTTTCCTATTTTATGTGTAATTGAATTACGTGTTGTGTGCATTGATTTGTATTTAATGATCTAAATTATTGAGTTATTTGTATTATTTGAATTAATTATATTATTTGTGTTATTTGAATTCTTTAAATTAATTGCTTTACTATCATGTAACTGTTTAATTATAGGTGTTTTTAATTGTTCTGTTATAACTGTAAAATTATTTAGGGTTTAGGTTTCACGTTGTAGCGGACTTGTAGTTAGATTTAGAATTAGGTTTTGGTTTTAATTGAAGCCTATAAATAATATATGATATGTCGACTTAGGGTTTTAGAATACAGAACCTTTATTCCCGTAGTGAAAAAGAAAACAGAGAGTTACAGAAAGAGATAAAGGGAGGAAGTTTAGGGTTTTGCCTTAGGCTAGGGTTAAACCAACGAGGAGGAGGAGCAGAGGTTGGCTCGTGGGTAAAACCAAGAGCAGCAGATGAGGTTTAACGGCAACAAAGGTCGCCGGAAAACCTAGGTAGAAGGCGGTTAAAGGTTTCAAACCGAAACCTTAAGAGGCAAGTTCTATTCTGTCTCTCTCCCTTTGGCCTGTGTTCTGTGCATACCTAGGTGGTCTCTAGGATATTAATTAAATATTAATTGAGTTTGTGCATGCCTATTATATGTCAAATTAATCATCTGTATATGTTTAAAATTATGTCTGAAATCATTCTTACACATTTGTTCTTCGTCGTCTGTTAAAGCATGTAAACTGGTATTGTTTTAATCATTGTTTTAGTGATTATTGTTGTAAACTAATGTAATACTCCTAATTTTAAGAGGATAGTCTCGGTATTTATTTGTTTGTTTTAATTGTATTTTTAATTATTTAATTTTAATTGTATTTTTAATTATTTAATTGATTATTTGACTAATTGGTTATGTGTTTAATTGAATTAGGTATTACTTGATTATTTGATTATGTGTCTCTGTATTATTTGTATTTGTCTATGTGTTAATTGTTTAATTAGATTATGTGCTTAAATGGTGTTTTGATTAATTATAAATTAAATGTTTTCTTTTCTTTTATTATTTTATTTTATTTTTCTTTTATGGTTTTAGTTAGTAGTCATGGGCCAACCAATTGGGTCCCATAAATTACTTGGATAGGATGTTGGATGTGTATGGATTATTACCCATAGATAGTTGTGCATGTATATATATATATATATATATATTATATACATATATAAAAGGAAAAATAATTTATTAATTACTTTTATGGTAGCTTGGGTAGTAATATTTAATCTGATGTATATATTTTATATTTAAATAATAAAAATATATATAGATTTGATACGTGTTATATTTTAAGTTATTTTATAATATTATGATAACTTAAGTATTATTGGATAATCCATTAGTAAATAATGGAAGGTGTATAATTTATTTATTTAATAAAGATATACATAAATTATATACGTAACATATTTTACTTACCTTTTTAATATATATAAAAGGGAAAGTAATTTATTAATTACTTTTATGGTAACTTGGGTAGTAATATTCAATCTGATGTATA